TGACAGTGACTAAATGTTTCATTCAGAATTTCCCAAGTCTCCTTTGGAGCCAGAACAGACCACAGTGGTTATAATTAGAACAGAGTAATGGGTTAGAGAAATGGAAGAAAGGCAACAAAGAGATTGATTGTGTTGGTGAAGTGTGTTCTTGCTGAATGAATGTGACAACTGGTCACAAATCTCCCAGGAGGAGGATGGCCAAATGTGGGTCTGCAATGCCAAGACAGTGCTAAGTGTGTATTCCAGTTGTGTGTGTGTGTGTGTATCTTTGCACAAGTGCTCAACAGTTTTTTATTTGTAATATAAAAGCCATTTATCAGTAAGGTATGTGATTGGGGACTATCATGATAGTCCATTCTAGTCATCTCCGACTTGAATCTTTTTCCACCTGTAGACAGAATTGTAATTAATTATTGTGTAGGCCTTTTTGAACTCTCAATTTAAAGTCATTTGACATTACCTGCTTCTTTGAAATTAGTACAAGTGACTATAAAATGAGCAACAAGCCTTAAATTCTATACATATACTTATTTGCATATAATTTAAAATATGTACAATGGGAATACAACTTTCATATTTTTTGTTATTATTTGTGAAAAAATAACTTAGAAATGATTTTTACAACCTAAACTGTAAAAACAATCATTTACAAAAACCCATGATCTCCTAATTATAATTTTTGGGCAGTAAATTTAGTAAAAGGCGAACGATTTATGCGATCTGAAGAGAAACCAGAGCATGGGGCAGTAAATTTAAACAAACTTTAAGCTATAGATTTCTTTGATTTTTATCTTAACTCCCAGCATTTGTTATAGTTCAGTCAACCAGAAAACTTTTTAAATGGAGGAAAGCTTTTATTTCCTTCCCAAAATTCTATACAATTGAAAATAAAAGTGCATTAAAGCCAATTTTGGTCCTTTTGTTTTCAGATTATGTTCTGAATTTTTAAGAATTTCCAAATTCCAATGAATTTCTTTTCACTTTTTTTTCCACTTTCTTGTTTACTCAGTAGTTTTATAGTTCTAAGTGATTATTGACGTCATCAATTGACGTCAATTTTAGTTATCCATTCTTTAGAAGTTTAAATTATTTGCTACATCAACCTTAATCTTTAGCAGTTGTTTTGAATTATTAATATTGTTGATCTTCATCATATCTATTTACACATTTTTATCTAGAAAATGATCATGGTTCTGTGTTCCCTTGAAATTAGGAGGTTTAAATAACTAAAGGAAATAATTGAACCATTAACAAATTGCTCTATAAATGAAAGATTTCTTTTTATATATAGTAAGAGTTAACATAATAAAGGTTAAATTGGTTTTTGTCTAAAATTTCTTACATCTATTGTCAAAATTTCTGGTCCAATTGATAGTTAAATAAGAGAATTGGAAACTGATGGAATATTAATGCTGCTGATTTATTACATAGTCCAGGTAGAAATCATGCTTTAATTTTATAAAGGACATGCATAACTCCTTCCCCTTCCTCTTCTCTTTCCCCTCCCCCTCTACTTTCCCTCCCTTCCCCCTCTCCCTTTCCCTGCCCTTCTTCCTCCTACTCTCCTTCCCAGTCTTCCTCCTCTCCCCCCCTTCCCTTTCTTCCTCCACTTCCCCTCCCCTACCTCTTCCCCTTTTCTCTTCTTTTTAAATATATTTTATTGATTTTTTTTACAGAGAGGAAGAGAGAGGGAGAGAGAGAAACATCAATGAGAGAGAATCATTGATCAGCTGCCTCTTGCATACCCCCTACTGGGGATGTGCCAGCAACCAGGGTACATGCCCAATCGAACCTGGGACCTTTCAGTCCACAGACCTACGCTCTATCCATTGAGCCAAACCGGTTTCGGCCCCTTTTCTTTTTTCATGTACATGTGTATATTGCAGTTGCTTGAACAAAAGATTTCTCACTCTGCTTATACAAGTCAAGAAACTTAAAATTATGCATTTTTTCCCTTTGCCCTGGAAATTGTCTGGGATTGCATCAGAATTAGATAAACTTAGATTAAATTTTTTTTTGTAAGCCTAGAGTAGAAGTATATGCGTCTGAAAATGTATTCTGTAGGCGTATGTAGGTTTCTAGAACATCGTAAGTGTTTAGTTGAACATAAGCGTGCTCTAACCAGGAGCTCAGATTTTAAACAAGTCCACGACTCTAAGCACCTTCCACACTAAAACCACATCCTCCTCTCTTACAAATAAAATAGCATTCTATTTAATTCACAGTGATTAATGAATTTCCACTTCTATAATAAGTGGAGAAAGCAAACAAAAACCAGGGAGCTAAAAATATATATAGTAGAAATATTTGATTGTCTAACATAAAGAAGACCTGAAGATAAAATTGGGGATATAGAGTCTCTGAGCCATTTAAAATAAGGGTAAATTAGGTAGTATTCACTGGCAAATACTTTTCAATTAATACCTAGGGAATTTCACTTACTTGAAAAATATACAAACATAGAAAACATCTTTCAAAGACATATAGTGTTATTACTTTATCCACAGAGTCACATAAGAGGTACAGTGTCAACTTTTTCTTACCCAGACTTGGATAGGACATAAAGCATTGGTGGTGGTGGAAGGGCAGGAAGCATAGGTATAATTTTGACTATATAGGACAAATTTCTTTTAAACAAGAAGGTATATGGAGTTTGAATAGAGCATTTCCATGTATATTTAAGTTTAAATTACCTATATGTGAATAAACTGCTTTGCTAAAAACAAAATATTTCTTACTCTAGGTTGGCATTCTCCTGATAGACTGCCTATTTCTAGGCCACTTCTTTTCATGAGTTGTTGGATGATCAGTGAATTTTAAAGTTAATTATTCACTCAAAAGCTTTTAGAATGAGGCAAAGGCATAAATAGCAAATATATTTTAAAAAAAGAAAGATGAAATTTAATTTTGAGGTACATATGTAATCATTAGAAAAATGTATCTCCTTTGGGAAAAAATGATTTTTAAACAAACGGGAAATTGAGTTTTTAAAGAATTATCTCTGTGAACACTTCCATTTAGTACTGAAAATTCAAAGTTTGGAGTAGTTAATAAAATGACCCAATATATGCTTATTAATTATAAACACCAGAGTACCACCTTGTGTTCATATAGCACCTGTTTCTTAGTAGGTGAGAGAACAGTGACACGGGTTTTTGTTTTGATTTTGGCTTTTGCTGTGTTATATTAATCAATACTTATACTACTGTGTAGCTGAAAAGATGCTGGTCTCATCCATATTTTATTGAGTTGAAGACAGGTTCAGAAACATAGGCGACTTCTACTAGCCTAGAAATACTCAGTTTTCTCTAACATTGGTTGGTAGAGCTGCTGCTTTTATTTTTGCACTATCAGGTTTTTTTCATGGATTTTTCTTTCTTATCAGTAATCTCTTTTATGTATTTTTTTTAATGAACCACTCACAAGGTAGAGAAGATAAATAGTCTCAACATTTTCATTGGATTTTTTTTTCTACACAAATAAAAGTCCTGAGTATCATTAGTTAGAAAGTAGCCTCTGAAATTTTCCTATTGAAACTCCTTGTAGCAATTGCTGCCTTACAATTGTCCACCAATTTGAAACTCTTGGTTCTGTTTTGCAATGGAGTACATCTTCCTAAAGCACATTTCTCAGTATTTTCCACTCATGTATTCTACATAAAAAGCCACTGTATTTCTTGGAATTAGTTTTGAAAGTAAGGATTTTGTCTTCAAAATACCACTTCATTGGACAAATCTGTTACAGATTCTGAGATTGTTTTGTTTATTGAATTAGCTGTGCATAGAACCTGCTAAATATTTCCAAGCCCCGTTTCACAAATAGAAGCATTGTTATATAAATTAAACTTTAGTATTTGTTTATATATGATTCTTATAAGTAACAGACATAGCAAATAAAGTAAAAATGAATAGAAAATAAAAATAGGTTTACTTTCGTGTTTTATTAATTTTAAATAGTTGCATATTTAAGTTTCAGTTAGGTTTACAATGACTTATGCTGATATTGAATGCCGCTGCCTCATGAAAGTTTTAGTAAACCCTAAGTTTATCCAATATAGATTATGAAATGGCATTTTGATCTTAAAAATTTCTCTTTAGCCCAATTTTAAAATTCATCAGATAAACAGTTATGCAATTTATTATTAGGAGCTTGAAAGCCACTAAACAGTAGCATCTGCTTTTTATTTTTACTGTGAGCTGTTGTTGTGCATGTACATAACATAATTTAATATGGTAACATCTTCACTCTTCTATTTTAAAAAATATATATTTTATTGATTTTTTACAGAGAGGAAGAGAGAGGGATAGAGAGCCAGAAACATCGATGAGAGAGAAACATGGATCAGCTGCCTCCTGCACACCTCCCACTGGGGATGTGCCCGCAACCAATGTACATGCCTTTGACTGGAATCGAACCCGGGATCCCTCAGTCTTTAGGCCGCTGCTCTATCCACTGAGCCCAACCAGTTTCGGCTCACTCTTCTATTTTATATCTACTTGTTGCCTTTCCAAAGTCCTGGAAAATGAATTCTTAAGTTTTGCTTTGTAATAATGAAATAAAGCTCACTTTCAATCACGATCAACCATCTTCAGCTTTAACAAACTCTATCAGAATTGCCTGCTTATATGCTTTCTGAGAAAATATCTGGCATGCAATGGGTTCCCATGCCGCGATTTATGTCAAGAAGCAGCGCATGTACTTTCGGTTGCACAGTTTGTCCTAACAGCCATTGTTGGACCAGGCATTCCTCCAAAGCTCATGCGTTGGGGAATGGTAATTATAGTAAGCCGTGTATTATATACATAATGCATGGATGTCCCGCATGAGCTATGTGGGATTTCGGCCCATTCGCCAGAACGTAGCTGCATAAAGACCTGTTTGGGGTTCGTTGCTGATGATCGATAGAGCAGAATGTTGCCAATGATGTCATTTGCTGTTAGGCTGCCTTGAAATTTCAGTGCAAGTGGTGATTTCTTCTCTTTTTCTGTGTGCTTGTCTAGTCTCGGCAGACACCTGAGGGTGAGTTCCTCCCCCTTGATCAACTTGAACTGGATGTAGGTTTTAGTACAGGGGCAGATCAACTCTTTCTTGTTTCCCCCCTCACGATTTGCCACGTGATCGATGCCAAAAGCCCCTTTTATGACCTATCCCAGCGAAGCATGCAAACTGAACAGTTCGAGATTGTCGTCATCTTAGAAGGCATTGTGGAGACAACTGGTGAGTAAAAACGTAGATATGCCATCACGTTTCTTCATTTCATAATGACGTTATGTTATATGCACCATACTTGCCACGAACTCAGCTCACAATGATGAAAATGATGACTTGCCTCTTATTTCTTTGTAATATTAAATGGATACTTTTAATATGAAGATATGCTGTGGCGGTGACTGCAGATGTTATATTAACTCAGCAATACTTGCTGCGAAAAAACCCCACACACTGTAACTCAGCTGAGAAGACTCCTTAGAAATGATTATGATGTTCTGTTTTTATTACAGTCTTGGATTTTCTATAATCATAATTTTTCTTTAAAGACTTAAGGTTAAAGTACATTCTGCATAATTAGTGAGCAGCCTGAACACAGCATGCACATTCTTGCAATGGAGACGGTATTCAGGGTGTTACTGGTAGAGCTTGGTATACTAAGTGCAACCTCAATGGAAACTTCCTGTGTGTGTGTGTGTGTGTATGTGTGTTTGCACACGTGTGCATGTGTGCATGTCCACATGTGCTAAAGCAGCACTTTAATTTTGAAATGGGTCAGTAGATTTCCCCAGATGAACCTTGACCCCCCAAAAAATTAAAGCATATTTTTTTCTTCTTTTTCTGCTTTGGGATAAACTACATACTGTGTGTTATTTGTTAAGACGCAATGTAGCTTTGGTACACTACAATTTTCTATTCTCTAAGGAGAGTAAAATTGTCAAAAGGAATGAAACAATAATTAGAGTACTTTGTTCAGGGCCTGAGCATTGCCTCGTTGGTTTGGAACCTGAAAGGAGACTGAGATGAATAATATACTGTCCACATAATTGTATAAATATATGTATGCATATATATGTGTGTGTATTCCAGTTGAGTTGTACCCTTTCTACAAGTAATGAGAAAACATATTTTAGCTCTCAATATTTTAAGCAATATTATTTTAACAATCTTAAAGTGCTAATTATTATGTAAAAACTATAGTACTATAGAAAATAACATTGGCAGTAACATGGAAACATTCAAACTTCAAAGCCAGGTGGGAAACTACATAATCAAATATCTTTCACTTTTGTAGAAAGCTTTGTCCAAAGAGCAGGTGAAGAAGGCATTGAAATTTTTCTACACCTGTCACATAACACCTCTTTGAAATTTGGGTAATATATGAAATCTCTATAAGCTTTTCTTTCTCTTTAAAGCATGGATCATATAATAACCACCTTGAAGCTTTTGGTCATTTTCTAGTATCCTATTATAGCAATTACTTCAGTTTATATTAAGATTTTTAAGAATAATGAGTAAACATCAAACTTATCAATCTATACCGGAAATTTGATTTCTGTAGAATATTTTATGGTTTGTGCCCTTTATTTAGTTTTTTAACTTAATATTTAAATACCATAGTGTATTTCTAAAATGCCATATATTGATAAAGAATAAATCAATTTACAAAGGCGTTTAGTTTAAAAAATTTTTTACATTTAAATTTCAATGTTTAGGCATCTTATTTATCGAAGTTGTCATATATTGTTAGAACTTAAACAGCAGATGTTGCAATTTTTATTGTTGTATTTCTTATAGTTTATGCTTCTATCTATGACACCCTGCTTCTAACTTACCAATTGTTGTTTATTATTCTAGTCACTGACATGTGAGAAGTTTCTGTCTCACTTGACAGCCTTAGAAGCCTTTCGTTAGTTCCATCCACTAACCTATCTACCCATTCTTTTTTCCTGTTTATTGCTAGTTTGTGTTTCTTTCTTAAGAAGGACATTTGCCTACAAAATCAGAGTGAAATTTTAAAATGAAAGAAATTTAACGATACCATTACTACCATTTAGTTCTTAGAGCAAGGTCAAATATCTTTAGTTGTCCTAGTAATTTATATCCAAACTGTCCGTCCGCCCTTACCTCCCGCTCTGTTTCAACATCAATTTAAGGATTGCTTGTCTTCTTACTCCCGAGATGGAATCATTCTTCAACCTTACTTTGTGTTCTTGACCTTGACATACTCAAAAGTACAGGTCAGGTATTTTGTAGCATGTCTCCCAAATGGGATTTGTCTGAGGTTTCCTTATTAATTAATTCTTTTGATTTTTGACTTCTACATGGACATCTTAAGGGGATTTTGAAGCAGGTTGTTTTTTAAGTTTACTTATGTATTCCTTATATAGCTTACATGTCTTCATATTTCAAAGGGCCATGATTAGTATATAATGTCTTACATAAGGTCCTTAGAAGTTTTGTAATACTCAGTTATTTGTTAGGACTGTAGGTTTTATTTCCTCTCACCTCTCTTTTATTTATTTATTTTAAAAAAATATTATTTTATTGATTTCAGAGGGAAAGGGAGAGGGAGAGAGAGATAAGAACATCAATGATGAGAATCATTGATTGGTTGCTTCCTACGCGCTCCCTACTAGGAATTGTGCTGCAACATGGGCCTATGCCCTGACCAGGAATCTAACTGTGATTTCATGATTCACAGGTTGATGCTTAACCACAGAGCCATATCAGCTGGGCCCTCCCACCTCCCCTTTAAAACAAAACAACAACAAACCAATGAACTGACAAATAATGCTTTTCACAGAAATTATGAAAAGTTAATGGAGCCTGAGTTTCTTAATTAGATATATATTTTATGAAGAAGAGATTAAAATCTGCTTCCTCTTAACCTCTTAATTAAGCCTGCTTTCTAGATCTAATATAGCAAGACAAACAGCATAAATATTACTCACAATTTATAGAAATTATATCATGAAAAATTTACCTGACATTTCATTTGTGTATTTGCTCTAATTAAATTCCACACTGTTTCAAACTCTACTAAATATGTCTATATTTTCAGACTTCTTTGAGCCTTTATAAAAATAGCATAAACATTTTTATGTTTATTTGATTATTTATTATCTTACTAAAATTTATGTAGGTTAATTTTTAAGGATGTTTCCTCCTTTATCCTTTCATTCTCGATATTTTACTTTCCCCTAATATTTATTTGCTTAGAATAAGATAGATGAAATCTTTCAGGATATTCTGAGAAAGCAGTAATACCCTTCTTACCCTTCTTTTTTTTTGTAACAGCCTGTGAATAAACACTTGACGTATCTTTCCATCATACTTAGCATGAAAATACTAAAGTTTTTTTTTTTTTTTTTTTTTTTTTTAAATCATGTGTTCGCTCATTAGACAAACACTTGGGTGTATTCTGTGTGCTCAGAGATGCTGGCAGTACAGTGGTGACCGAGACAGGCAGAATCCATGTCCTCATGGAGGTTCTATTCTAAATGGAGGCAGACCACAAAACAACAAAAGGCAAGATATTTAGGTAAAATGTCTTAATAATAAAAGACAAAACAAAACAAGGTGATGGGGGAAAGAGTACATCCCAGGCTACTTCAGATTGACAAGAAAAGTCCTTCCCAGGAGGGGACACCTCCGAGGAGACCTGACTGTCCAGAAAGATCTAGAGGGAGAGCTGGGCAGGCATGGTGAAGGCGGGCAAGAGGACTCTGAGCTGGGAGTCGGCTTGATTGATTCCAGGAGCTACAGGAAGGTGGAGGTGGTTGGAGCAGAGGAGCAACGTGTAGAGGGGCAAGAGGGAAAGTCAGAGGGGCTGAGGGGCGCCGCTTCACTAGATGATTGCATTGCGCACCGACAGGAAGTGGGAAGATTTGATTAAAAAGCGAAGCCTATATTTAGATGAAAGCAATAATTTAGTAATCTTAAACTGTATATAGCAACAACAACAACAACAAAAAATACCATAGGAACAATTTTTTTTTTCATTGAGTATATTTAAAAGTGAGTGGCCCTAATGTGTTGGAAATGAATGCAGTTTAGATTTCCACTTTTTATTGTAACACCAACCTCATCCCCATGTCCCCCAACACACACACACACACACACACACACACACACACACACACACACACACACACACACACAGGCACGCGCTCTCTTCACAGCATTCCTCTGACAAGAATCTGCTTATCTCATTTAGTCTCTGCTTCTTCCCGCTCCTGTAGTCTCAGCAGGGGAGGTTGGAGTGGAAGAATGGGAGATGAGAAATTAGAAAATTAGAAGCTTTCTAATTTCCTTGAAAGTTTCAACTTTCAGCTTGGGACTCACAGTAATTACTGTCCCGCCTTCCTTGGATCAGAGGCACCCATTGTTGTTCTCCTTGCTTCACATGAGGTGGATTTTCACTCCCAACAAGAAACACAAGATCTGCCTCTTCTTTAGTAACCTTTACCTCACCCAGCACATCCCCGAGAACAGGTTACCTCTAACTCCTGCTCCCTTTGCTCCTCCTCCCAGGAGAGAGAGCACTGCTAGAGGCAAACAGCGTTGCAGATTTGGCTCATTAGAACTGGATGCTTTCAAACTTCAATCTGCTCTCTGCTGCTATTTGGCAGTCTGTTTAATTGTCTTTTCTGTACTCCCAGGCTCTCTCCCCATGGGAGCTATTTTAGACCTCGTCTCTCTTCCCATGCCCCCAGTCCCAGCTGTCCTATCCCTTCCTTGGCATAGCATCTCTCCACCTAGTCTATCAGAAATGTAATACTTCAACTCTTCTCTATTTCTTACTCTCATTAATCCTTTGCTCATAGTTTTTCTTTCTTTCTTTCTTAGTGTTTGTGGGGGAAAGCATCTTTATTCTCTAAAACCATCTCCTTTAAAACTAGTTATGTTGTGACTCAAGCTCCAAAACTCATCTAATCCTTAAAATCCCACCCACTCTGTCACTTTATTCTGTGGATTCAGAGACAACACACTATCCCTCTCCCTTTATAGTTTCCAATTGTTCCTTAAATACCGTATCACTGCATCTTCCTAATCCTCCTCCCTGGTGTTCCCTGCATCTGCTCTTGTCTCCTTTTCCTTACATCTAGATACTTGCCTTTTTCTTTTAAAAAATATTTTTGTTTGATTTCAGAGGGAAGAAAGGAGAGGGAGAGAGAGCTAGAAGATCAATGATGAGAGAGAATCATAGATTGGCTGCTTCCTGC